GACTCCAGAGGCCTCAGTAAACCTCTGTCAGAGCGTCACTCTGTTGGGTTACAGTGAGAACTAGAAGGGCCAGGCCTCCCAGTTCCACATGGGAGCCAGTCTGCAGTTGGGAGATGGCTTGCTGTGTGAGTGGGGAGAGTTAGGTGCCTAAAATGGTGAGTGCCATCAAGCTTGGGTCACCTGAGGTCAGTGTCCATCCCCTCAAGAGATGGATACTATGCTAGCTACATGACCTTGGACAGCTTACTTGACCTCTGCTCCAATTTCTTCATCTGCAAAACGGAGGGAATAATAGTACCTGCCTGCCACGTGAGGATGGCTTATATGGCCTTTTTTGCCATAATCTTGTAACTCCCACCAAATGACTGGGTGGGAGTATGCAAATGAGGTGCTTGTGGCACACCAAGGGGGTTGGACAGCTAACTAATAATTCAAATCAGGTGTGCATGGCATCTTTGTGGGGATGGGACGGACCGTGAGAATAAAGTGTGTAGAATCCTAACCAAGGGGATTGGTTAGTTTTGTCATCCCACTAGACTTAAAATGCGCCATCCCAGAGTTCAGGGTGGGGAGGGCAAGGAGCCCCTCACTACCACCAAGAAAGAAGAGACAGGAGCACAGCATGTCCTTTGGAACTGAGGTCCCTGCACCGAGACCCTTCTAGACTCAGGAGACAAGATAGGACAAGCTGTAACACCGGAAATGGCGAGAGATGTTGAAAAGCAGTATGTGAAAATGGTGTGGGGCTAACATCTGACCTCTAACTTCACAAGTGGGAAGAAGGATCAAGATCAACAGCCCAGGTGAGGTGGAGGTCATGCCACAGCTCTCAACCTTTTTACCAGTTCTGACACTGTCCTTCCCACTACACTCTACTTCTCTGTTGGGTTCGATGATTTGTTGCAATGGCCACACAGAACTCACACACAATACTCACAGTTGTGTGGTTTATTAGGGAAGTAACAGGTTACAATTCAGCATCTGGAATGCTCAGGATACAGTTCTTTGATCAGGACAGCCTTCCCTCAACTGTGCTCAAAGGCAGGTCTCTTTGGCTTTTGGCCCCTCAACCTGACCTCTGCCCTGCTTGGGCAAGTGTTTAGCTCTGCCAAGAAATGCCTAGAGGCCCCCCTTCTCTGCCAGTAAGCCTTGGCCATAAGGCACGCAGTTTTCCCACTCATGAGTCAGCAAGCCTGTCTCCATGGATAAATACCCAGACACCCCACTCCACCAGCAAGCGTCTTGCCCAGAGGCACTCAGCTTTCTCACTCTGTGGACCAGGAGGCCCACCCCTCTCTCTCGTGCCACTCTCTTAGTTCTGTTCCCTCTGTTGCTACCACACTTCCCTCCATGTCTCCAGTTTCACAGCTCTCTGTCTCCTGGATCAAGGAGGTTCGGTGCAGGGATTCTCAGTTTCAAAAGACACATTCCACTCCTCGTTTCTTGCTTGATGGTAGTGAAATCATCCCCTTTCCATCTCTGAGATGGCTCATTGTAAGCCTAGCAGGATGGCAAAACTGACCTACCCCTGTGCTAGGGCTCCGTACACCTTATTTACATGGTCCCACCCCCACAAGAGTACCATACACCTTATTTACATTGTCAGCAAGCTGTCCAAACTCCTTGGTGGGCCACGGGCCACCAGCACCTCACATTTGCATAGTCCTACACAGTCATCTGGCGGGAGTCACAAAGACTGTGGCTGCAAGGACTGGACCAAGCAATTCACAGCCCTGCTCAGTGGGAGAGAAATGGCAGCAGCAGGAGACTGGCAGGAGATGGCACAGTGGGATTCCTGGCCAACAGAGTGAATGAGGGTTGCAGTGGGTGTGCTGACCCATGGAGAAAGAGAGCTGAGAGCCTTTGGGTCAAGGCTTGCTGGCGGAGTGAGCTGCTCCCAGGCACTTATTGGCAGAGCTAAAGAGCTTTGTTACACTTGGCCTTGAGCAAGAGAGAGGCTGGGCCAAGAGGCCAAGGGCCAGAGAGAGGCCTGATTTCAGGCACGGCTGAGAAGAGGGGGTCTTAATCGAAGAACTGTATCCTGAATGATTCCTGATCCTGAATTGTAACTTGGTAGAAAACAATAATTAATAAACTACTCTATGGGACGGAGTAGAACTGCCCCCACGGGGTTTCCAAGACTATAAATCTTTACGGAAGCAGACTGCCACATCTTTCTCTCATAGAGCTGTTAGTGAGTTTGAACCACCAACCTTCCAGTTAGTAGCCAGGTTCTTAACCGCTGTGCCACCAGGGCTCCTGTAACCTGTTACTTCCCTAATAAACTCCATAAATGTGAGTATGGTCTGTGAGTTCTGCGTGACCCATTGCAAAGAATTGTCAAACCCAGCAGAGAAGTAGAGAGTGCCATGTGAAGGACAGCTGGTGTCAGAACTGGTAAAAAGGTTGGAGAGAGGAGGTATGTCTGACTTCTGCTTCATAGGAATCAGCCTTGGGCTGATGGTGATCCTCTCTCCCCTCATAAGTTAGATGAGGAGTCAGATGACCTCACCACCCCATTTTTATACTGCCACTTTAGGTTTGTTATGAAAAATGAGTTAATATATGAAGGTGTTCAATCTAATGATTGATGCCCAGTCAATGCTGTGTGCATGTTTGCTGCTGTTAGGGCTGTTGTCACAATCTGTCATTGGATCAGACAGCTCTCCTGGCTGGTATTGTGTGGGCAGTGCGGGGTTTGCCTCTCGGACTTGCACCTCAGTGTTTCCTTTTAATTGTCCCTACGGCAGCCAGTGTTGTCTTCTGTCCTCCTTTGGAGGTGATAAGCAGCCCAGCAGAGAAAGTGCCAACCTTGGGGTCCCCAGACCTAGTTCTATATCTAGCTCTGTTACTCTGTGGTTGTGAGAACTTGGGTCAGTTAATTCTCCTGTCTAAACTCAAAAATTCTGCATCTGTAATATGGGGCTAAAAAATTCTTGCCTACCTCATGGGGTCGTTGTGGGGAATATGGGCCACTGTGGGTAGACTGAAGGAGCTCTGGTGGCACAGTGTGTAAGGCCTATGACTGCTAACAAGAAGGTTGGCAGTTCAAACCCACCAGGAGCTCCACAGAAGGAAGATGAGGCAACCTACTTCCGTAAAGATTTATAGCCTTGGAAACCCAGTGGGGGTGGCTATGAGTCAGAATTGACTGTATGGTGGGAGGTGGGCAGGTAGACCATCAATGATTGTTACCTGGTGACCCTCTGATAGCCTAGAAACTTTCATATCATTCATTGATCAAGCTAAGAGGTTTCTGCCTCCTTATAATGCTACTGTGGTATTGTGGTTCAGTGGCAGAATTCTTGCCTGCCATGCAGGAGGCCCTGGTTCGTTTCCTGGCCAATGCATTGCTTACTCCCTGGGAGCTCTGGTAGCGTAGTGCCTAAGGCACTTGACTGCTAACCAGAAGGCTGGTGGTTCAAACCCACCAGCCACTCCTCGGAAGGAAGGTTGGGCAATCTACTTCTGTAGTGACACCGCCTCGGAAACCCAAGGAGGGGTCGCTATGAGTTGGGACTGACTCATTGCCACATAACAACAACAACATGTTATTGTTACTGTGTTGGTCACTTGCTTTTGGTATATTGCCTTTCCCTTCACGCAAATTAGTACTTGTATCTACCTGCCTAGCAGTGTTTCCTCCCCTCCCCTCCCATCCCTGGTAATTGTTCCTGTATTATATCTCAAGGAGCCCTGGTGGTACAGTGGGTAAGCACTTGGCTACTAACCAAAAGGCCAGCAGTTTGAATCCATGAGCTGCTCTGCAGGAGAAAGATGTGCCAATCTGCTTCCGTGAGATTACAGCCTTAAGACCCTATGGGGCAGCTCTATTCTGTCCTATACGGTTGTTGTGAGTCACAGTTGACTTGATGGCAAGGGGTTTGGTTTTTATATTATGTCTTTTATGGTGCTGTGATTTTGCATCTCTTCTTGGCAGGAGGACAGCTTTTAACCTCATTTCACAGATGAGTCTGAGATCGGGCACCACTGTGTGAGACTGGCATAGAGAGCCCTCATCTCTCCTGGTCACTGAAAGCCCTATCCTTGCAGATGGGGTGAGGGGTAGGAGATCAGAGACTCTTGGAAGTGAAGCTTCCTCATACAGGCATGCCTCATTTTATTGTGTTTTGCTTTACTGGCACTTTGCAGATAGCACAGTTTTTGTTTGTTTGTTTGTTTGTTACAAATTGAAGGTTTGTGGTAACCCTGTGTTGAGCAAGGCTATTGGCACTATTTTTCCAATAGCATGTGCTCACTTCGTGTCTCTGTGTCACATTTTGGTCATTCTCCCAGTATCTCAAACTCTTTCATAATGCTATTCATACAGTAGACTACAGTATGTTGTAAACATTTATATGCACAAGGAAATCAAAAGATTCCTGTGACTTGCTTTCTTGTGCTATTCACTTTACTGTGGTGATCTGGAACCGAACTTGAAATATCTCTGAGGTATGCCTGTACTCTCCCCGTGCCGGCCTGTCTGCTTCAGTGGGAGGGGCTGTGACAGAGTTGGCCAAGAGATGAGGGCCCAGTAGATGTGGTGGCAGGCCCTGGAGACTGGCCTAGGCACTCACTTCAGCCCTGGTATTTGAGACTCTGGGTCCAGGCTGCTAAGCCTGCTGGCCCACAAGGGGTCCCTCGGAGCTATCAGGCACTGTGGGGCTGAGCCATCCACATGGCCAGGGAGGAAGTGCCAGCACTGATAACCCACGTGTCCGTCCCAGAGGGGGGTGGTGTAGGATTCTGTGGGCCCCAGAGGATTCCTGCGTTTCGACAGACACCTCATTATCCCCATCCGGCTGTGTCCCAGCCTCTGTAATCACACAGGCCCACGCCCAACCCAGCAGCCAGCCCAGGGCCAGGAAATCACTCCCCTCCCCTCCCCCTGCCTTCGCAGCCCTGGCCTATTGCTGGTGGACCTCCTGCCTGCCTAACGGTTCTTTCTCCTCTTCTGATTCTCTTCTGCTGCTGCTGCTTTCTCTCGGGGGACTCTGAAGTGTGGCTGTCCAGCTGGGCTGAGTCTCCCAAGAAGGACGTGACAGGTACTGCCCGGTATGCATGTGAGCGCATGGGTATGAACATGTGTGTCCCAGGCACACGTGAGTGGGAGCCGGGGCTGCAGGCCGCTCCCCGCATGCTTCTCTGTGGTATGTGGTGGCCCTCTGTGAGCATGGCAGGCTTCTTCCCTGCTCTCTGACGCCCTTCAGCTCACCGTGTCCTCCACCTTCCCTGGCCACCCCTTTTAGGCTCTCACACTCAGCCTGAAGGCTGCTGTTGGAGTGATAATCGTGTAGCACAGTGTGTAAGCAGATGTGTTCTGGGCCCAGACACAGAGTGTGTGGGTTTGAATCCAAGCTCTGCCACACCTGCCTTGGGCAGGTTGTGTTTCTACATCTGTAAATTGGGGAGGGGTTAAAGGGCTGGGGCTGTCATCCCATCTAGCTGTGGAGCTTGCCACACTTTGCCAATTGCATCCATTATCTCAGTGGGCCATGCTTTGAGATTGGCTGGCCAAAAATGATTTATCTCATTTTCAGGTGGTTGAACTGAGGCAGAGAGACTGAGTGTTGAGGTGACTGGAGCCTGGTTTCCAGTGCGGCGGGCATGCAGGAGTCCTGGGACTATAGCTGAGAGTTGGGTCACAGCCCCTTCCTCCCAGCTGTCCAGAGGATGGAGTTACCTCCAGCCTCAGGGGACTCTGGCCCAGCCCGTTGGCTAAGGGTGATCTTTAGAGACTTCGGCAGAGTTGGGCCAGAAGTCAGGGCTGGCCTTTAGACTTTGGTCATACTGGATATTGGCAGAAACACCCAGACAGCAGACTTCTGAGCTGCTAGAGGGAGATGGTGATGGGGATTGTCGTTTCCAAAAGGGTGCCCCATGGTGCCCCTCCATTTCCTAGAGTATTACCTACCCCTCTACCCACTACTTCCCCAGCCTCAAGTCCAGCAAGAAATTGAGAACAGAGGTTCAGGCTGGGGTTTAGGGGATGAGGCAGCGTGGGCAGGGGTGAGCCCCCAGTGATGTCCACAGCTATGGGTAGTGAATGGGAGGGGAGTACCCAAGGAGTGCAGAAGGCAGCAGGGGTAAGAGAGCCCCTTCCTTCTCTTGCCTGGCCAGGCTCCTTGCAGTTGTTCTTCTGGTGTTCCCTGTGACGGAGGGCCTATGCCTGAGCTAATCATTGGGCTCCTGTCCCTTTTTCCCCTCTCCATGAGCCAGTGAGCTGGAGCCCACTTGGCCCAAGACAATACATTTTATTCACCAAACGTATAGCTGGGCCGCCTGTGGGCCTATGGAGAGGCCGGCAGGCCCAGCCCGGCCTGGGAGGATCCAGTTATGAGGAGCAGGAGGGACCTTGGTGGATTGCCCAGGGCTTGGGGGGGTCATGGAGAGCGTGGGGAGCATGGGGTGGAGGCCACTACAGTGCTTGGCTTCTCAGGATGGGTCCAGCTGTTTGGAGCAAGACATATAGGGGAGGCTGTGTGGGCCAAGGGCCAGCTGGGGAGGGTCCCCGCCAGACTGGAAGACCAGGGTCAGGGTCTCAGGCAAGTTGCTGGGCCTCTCCCAGCCTTGGTTTCCCCATCTGAAATATTGAAGAGTCTGATGAGACAGGACACTCAGGGGTGAGGGGCTGGGAAAGCCATGTAGGAAAGTGTCCTTGGGCTGTGTGGCCACCTGTCTGGAGGTCAAGAATGAGAGAACCAGGCTGCAGGGACACAGCCATGGGGCTTCCTTCCCACCTTCTGGCACCTGTGGAACTGGACCTGAGCTGTCTTGTTCTGAGACTAGGGAGGACCGTGAACCCCTCTAGCTCCTCTCCAGATCTCTCATTTCCTTGGTTTGCTTTATAACCCGTCACCTCATTCCAAGCTCAGAACAACCCCATGATGTAGGCACTGTTACTGTTCCCATTTACAGATAAGGAAGCTAAAGCCCAGAGAGGTTAAGTGGCCTCTCCAGAGTCACACAGTTAGTAGAGTCCAAAGCAGGACTGGACCTCAGACCCCCAGACTCTAATCTCTGTGCTTTCCTCTTCTCTGCACTGTAGACTGCATCTGGGATCTCGGGCAGTTATTGTACCCTCTGCCATGCCCTGTAGTGCCAGCCCTGGGAGACTCTTCTCTACAACACATGGTGTGGTGGGGGAGCCGTGCCCTGCAGGAAGTCAAGGAGAGGAAGGACAGGTCACTGTCCTGGCTAACTGATCACAGGGCACCTCCTAGAGCCCAGAAGGGTAGAGGTGTTAGGTAGAGCTGGGATTGGTAGAGAGAAGGAGAGGGAGGGAAGGCATTCCAGACATGGGTACAACCAACACAAAGGCTAGACTAGGTGACTGCCACATAATGGGTACTTGATAAATGTGTGTTAAATCATGACTGTTGCCTGGAAAAGGGGAGTTAGGTGTCAGTGAACTAGGAGAGCTCAGATCGGGCTTGAACTTGGTCTTTATTCTATAGGTAACAGGGAGCCATTGAAGGTGTTGAAGCTGGGGAATGACTTGGCGAAAGCTAAATTTAGAAGTTTAAATTGGCAGCCAGGATCAGGCAGGGGTCAGGGGGAAGCATCCAGGTGGTAGTTGGAGGAATGCAGGTGTGAGGCAAGGGTGAAGCGGGACTCTGGGGACTCCCCCGGGCTCCAGCAGGCCCAGCCAAGGGCTGTCATAAGGCAGAGGGTCCACCCCTGGACAGGACCCAAACTATTGCAAGGTCCCCTTCCAAATCTGGGAGGGGCCCTCCTCTCTAGAAGGGGACACCCCTTCTCCATGCTTTTGCCAAATCCTTCTCATCTGAAGACAGGAGGCGCCTTCCACTGCCCCCTCCTCTGCTCCCCCAAGCTGATTCCTCAGCCCCCAGCTTTCCTAGCCTTGGCTGGGAGGAGATCCAGCACAGCTCTGTGGGATGACATCACCGCCCGCCTGCCTGCCTGCCGAGTGGTTTCTCATCTGGATACCTGCTCCCAGCTCACGCAGGCCTGTGCAACCCAGGGCAGGCAACACCCTACAGGGCAGATGCCAGAGAGCCTGTGTGCTGGAGGAGCGGAGGGCAACCAGGAGGACAGAGTGTTTGTGTGTCTGTCTGTCCATCCGCAGCCTATGGAGTAGCCTCCAAGAACTGTCACCCCCTGTGTTGGCTCTGTAATGCCTGGAGATCTTTTCTACCTGTATCCCAGAGTGTCAGCCTACAGGAAGCTCAGGCCAGTTTTCCAAGAAGCCTGGCTGTGTGTGTGGGTGTGGGTGTTCTCCCCTTTTGAAATCCTGCCTCGGATTTTAGCTTGGATTCAAATGAGCTGATATTCCTCCATTCACCACCACCACCCTTTCCTTTGTAACATCTTCTGGCCACAGACCCCTAGTCTTTGCTCCCCCTTGCCTTCATTTCCTCTTTTTCTCTGATCCTTTCTCCTCCCAGGTTCAGCCATCTGGACGTCTAATTTTCCATATTCCAGAGGTGAAGCCATGCCTGGTTTATCGGTATCAGCTAAAAACAAACCATTAAACCACTCAGCTCATCTGTCTGCCTATTTATTCCATTAATTGAGTCCACATAGAGTATCTGTCACCTGATGGGCCCTGTGCTCTGAGCAGTGAGTACAGCAGCACTCAGTTAGGGCCCATGCTATGTTGAGCACCAAGGATATGCCAGGTACCAGCACATAGTGAGGCCTGGCCTTTCGCTGGAGACCAGGCGTCAGTGGCCCTCTGAAGGCCCTGTATAGTGCAGAAGTTAAGGGAAACAATGGCATCAGGCAGACTGGGGTTTAGGTCTCAGCCTGCCTGCGTCCCAGCTGTACGACTGTAGGGAAATCACTTAACCTCACGTGCCTCTGTTTCCGCATGTGTACAATGGGGATTAACAGGACCCACCACATAGGGTTGCTGTGAGCATTAAGAGACCAAGTAGTTGGATGCTTGGTGGAATAGCTGACACGGAGTAAGCTGTGATAGAGGCTCACCATTATTACCGGCGTAATCTGGGTGCTCTCTCGGGATTTGAAAGTGCTCCAGTCTGCTAGGGAATGCCTCTCTTCTTCTGTTTGTGTCTTGAGTTTTCCTTCTCCACTTTCCCCATGTGGGGATCCCCCACCCCCAAGCTAGGAAGAGAGCCCCCATGCCTCCCAGGGCAGGGGCCAGCTTTCTTTTGCATTGAGTGCGCTTAACTGCTCTTGGCCGCAGTCGACCCACGCTCCTTGCTGCCTAGCCAAGGCCTCCAGGACAGGCGCTGACCTCCCCCCAGGGCACAGTGGGAGGTAGTCTCTGTCAGTGCTATGCCCAGCAAGGCCTCTGTCCAGCTGCCAGGGGGCGGGTGCAGGAGCTGGCCACATCCAAGTACAGGGGCGACTGGCCTTACAGCTCAGCTGTTGGTTGCATTTCTGCCTGAAATACAATCCTGGCACTGGAGGGGCTGCCTGGAGCTGTGCATATGTGCTTCCTTGCAGCCCGTCTTCCCTACCCTCAGGCCTCCAAAGGGCTGCAGGGCCCACACCACATGGGATCTCCCAGTGGTGTGTCTCCCGTCCCTCATCGCAGGTTGGAGGGAGCCCCCTCCCCATGGGAGGACCCAAAGATCTAAGCAATGCTTCTGACTCCTAGCTGCACATGAGAAGTGGGGCCAAGAGGGTATCTGAAAATACCCATGGCTGGGCCCCACCCAGGCCGATTAAATCTAGATCTCTTGGGGTGAGGCCTATACAGCTGAATTTTTTTAATATATAAAAGCTAAGCTCCCCAAGTGATTCTGTGGTACCAAGTTGAGGATCATTGTGTTAGAAGAATGGACCAGAGAAACAGAAAAGAGAGGAAGTTGTTCTCTAGTGGGAAAAGAGATGGCTTAAACCTAAGAGTGAATGAATCTGGTTTGCTCCATACCTGCAGTGTGAGCTGGAGTGAACCTCTTGTCCTCTTTAGGCCTCTACTTTGTTTTTTGTGAAATAGGGGCTAAGAGGAAAGTTGTAAGGATGAAATGGGACATCATATATGTCTGGCACATAATGTTTGCCAAGTCAGACCCAGGTATGTAGAGAATGTGGCTGCAGGCTGAGGTATCCAAGGTCTCCAGTGTTGAGCTTGGACCCTCTCAACTGTTTTTAATAGACAGACTGTTGGTGTGAAGCCCCTAGTTTCCAGGAGATTGGCAGGAATATAGGGTGGCAGATACAGTTTAAAAAATGCACTAGCAATTCTCTTTGGGCTGGTGGTAGTAGTGGTGGTCTAGGAAGGCTTCCTGTAGGAGGTGACTGGTCTCTAGTTTGTGGATCCTTATGGCTCCTACTAGTACATGTCAGATATGTACTAGCCCCACCCCCAGCCTAATGATAATGATGGTAATAATTGGAGTGCAGAGAGGTTTGGGGGCAGCATGACCAATACTGAGATTGGCACCCAGGTCTGTCCACCTTTCAGCTTAACGAATGTTGCACTGGTCCAGTGGTTGAGGGAGACAGAGAAGGCACTTGCTCCTGGGATGCTTCGACGGTCTACCCTGCCTCTGCTGCTTCCCAGCTTTTGACCCCTTGAGAGCTACAAAACCACCTGGGAGAGGGCAGCCGGAGGCTGCTGGGAGCTGACCACAAGCCCCAACTTTTGCAGGCAGAGGGAGACTGAGTCTGGCCATGTGGCCAGAGGGCAGGAGCCAGGCCAGACCAACACCCCCCTCTGGACTGGGTGAGCAGGCCTGAGGCTGGTCCATCTGCCCCAGTGCCTCCGTGAGTAGAGGGGCAGAAATGGAGCTGAACTTAAATGGAGCTGAACTTGAAGAAAAATTGTGGGGGGGGGGGGGGGCGTGGAGGCACTGGGCTCACCAGCGGCTGGCGCTGGGGCTCTCTTCTTGGGTTTCAAGTAAACAGTCTCGGTCCTCCTCCCCCTCCCCTGCCTCCACCCCTGGCTCCTCATTCGACGGGTCTCATGTGTTTCTATTTAAGGGTTGCGAGTAAACCCCAGTGATTGGCAGCCTCAAACCCTCTTGACTTCTCGCCTGGGCCTGGAGAAGCTCTCTCCTGCTAGCTCTCTCCCTCCCGAGGGGAGGACTGCAGATTTTTTTCCTGGGGGTTTACGGGGCTTGGGGGTAGAGGCAGAAGCCTTCCTCTTTGCCTTTCCTTTTTTTTTCCTTTCCTCCTCTTTGGCCTCAGCCCTCATGGGCCGCCCACCCACTTCTGGCCCTCCCCTCACACCCCAGCCGGCCGGCCGTGGAGTCTGGAGAGACCATGTCCAGGCCGGGCCTCTCCTCAGACTCCCTCATGCCGGGCTGTGACTAACTCATCGCAGCACAGGGCTCTTTCCTCTGAGTTTCCTTGGCCTCGCCTCCGTCTCTGTCTCTGCCTCTCCCCTTCCCGTCCTCCTCCCCCGGCCCCCTCCCCGGCCTCCTCACTCCCCATGTCCCCCGGTCCCCGCAGTGCAGCGGGCCGGTGTGGGGCCTTGCTATATGGCCTGTCCTTGGGGCCCAGTGAGCTGCGAGCCCTGGCTGCGGGCTGCCCCTCAGAGCAGCACTGGCTTCGGAGCAGCCTCCCCCGAGGCCGATGGACAGGGGGCGCCCTGGCCGCGGGGCCACAGCCGGCCGCTGGCTCACCGCGTGCTTTCTGCCCTCGCCAGGTGCCGACACCAACGCCGAGCCCATGATCCTGGAACAGTACGTGGTGGTGTCCAACTATAAGAAGCAGGAGAACTCAGAGCTGAGCCTCCAGGCCGGGGAGGTGGTGGATGTCATCGAGAAGAACGAAAGTGGTGAGTGCCTCAGCATCCGGCTGTCCGTTCAGGGTTCCGGCCTGGCTCCTCGGACAGACGGACTGGGTTTTGTTCCCTTTCTCCTCACCCCCACCTCCGCAGCTATACGTTGTTTCCATCTGGCGGGGAGAGGGCTGTGGAGGCTGAAGTTTCCCCCTGTTGGTTTGGGCTGCAGGCCAGCAGTTTGCCTGGTGATGGAAGAATGTCTTCCCAGCTGGGGGGGGGGGTGCGGTAATTAACCAGCTCATGTTAATGCAAGGCCAGGATAGCAGCCACAGCCCTAACCGTCCAGCTGCTGCTCAGGGATACATGGCCCCCTGAGACCCGATGGAAAGAGCGCTTCCAGCTCAGAGAGGCCCAACAGCAGCTTCCGCCATTGGGACCAGGCAGGGCCAGGAGAACTCCACTAGCTGATGGGGAAGGCAGGCCGTGGTGTCACTGCAGAGGGTCCTGGGTCCCCAGGCCCCTGGCAGGTTGTCTGAGGAAGGGCCAGGTCTGTGGGAGTCTGTCTTGATGGCAGACTGACTGCCCCCCTTGCTGAACTGGACTCCACTAGGACCTAGGAAGAGGGCCCAGACAGGGGAGGGCTCCAGGTCCCACCCCCAGGAGGGTCCTGTGGCAGCCACCCTCATTGTCATTGGCAGCTGAGGCCTTGTCTTGTCTAGGAGCTGTGCTGATGGTTGCCCAAGGGGGCTGCTGGCTCCAAGGCTTTTGTACACTAGGCCAGAATGCCTTGGTGTCCTTGGCAGCAGCAGTCTGGTGGCAGGTAAAGGAGGGTGAGAGTCTGTCCGTCCAGGGGGTAGGCCCGTGCAGGACTAGGGATGAGACATGGGCCCAGGACATCAGCAGTTTGCCCACAGCCTGCTGGGTCTTGAATCGGTTCCTGGGGGTGTTTTGTTTCGCTTTCAGTTTGTTTGGGGTTGTGCACGGTTAGCTGTGCACTATAGCCTTTCTGGGCTGTTTGTAGGAACCTCCCAGAGAGGGGGAGCCTGTTCTTCTCCCCCGTCCCACTCTGGATCTGGGGCCTGAAGGGAAGGGAGACCAAAGTACTACTGTGCTCATTTTATACAGATGGAGTAACTGAGGCACACAGAGATTCAGGGGAAGCCACTTGCCTGAGGTCAAAAGCAGAATGTTCCCTAGGCCTGTGGGAGGCAAGAGCAGTAGAGGTGCTGAGAAAATCCCCACTGGTGTCCTGTGGACATGGGCGCAGGCGCCTGCTGCAGGGGGCTCAGGAAATTGTACCCCCCAAGAGCAGGACAGTGAGGAGAGCACAGATCCCCATAGCCTGTGCCCTCTCAGGGAGCTCAGGCCTGGAGTCAGGAGGTGGTTGGCAGCAGCAGTCCACATCTGGCAGAGCTGTGCCCTGGTGAAGGGCTTTGGTGCATGCAGTGGGCTCCTGCTTTCTGTACAGCTTTGCCCTTAGCCTTTCTTGCAAGACTGACCTCACCACCCACTGGAAGCTGACATTGGACATTGTCACGGGGGTCTGTCACAAAAACTCGAAACACCTTTAAGACCCAAAAGAGAGAATCTCTAACGGTGGAATGTGAGACACTAGGGGAGGGAGACTGCTGTTTGTTTTAGAGCTTGCGCCAAGGAAAGATAGCAGCCCACTTCTCCGTATAAGGTCAGAGCTGCCCAGAAGTTCTGGCTTAGAGACCCTCCGATCGCTTCACCTGCCCTGTCTCTCCACCACAGCTGTATAAACTTGGAGGTAGTGAGGCCCTGTGACTTTGGGTATCAGCCACTGGTCAGGATAACTGAAGAGGAAACACAGAAGAAAGTCATCTCTGCTCTAAGACTGCATGAGCCCCAGAGGTGTACATGTCCTCTGCTGTCCTAGCCTATATCGAAGGTGCTGGGAGCATTTGGAGTCCCTGCCTAGGAGAGGGAAAACCTTGAGTAAGTGGGAATTCTGGATTAGCAGCTGTCCCTGGAAGCAGGACTCTGCCCATCACCACCACTGCTGGATAGCCCCTTAATCACTCTGGGCCTCAGTTACTCCATCTGTAAAATGGAGATAAGTTTGTGGTTGCTTGGATACAAGGGCTGGAGCAGAAGACCTCCCTAAGCCCTCACCCAGGTGTGAACACCATGGTGGGTACTCAGTAGGGCCCTGGTGTGGTAGAGAGCAGCTCCCTGGATGGGGCTGTTTTACGACTCTGGGAGCTTTGTGTCTGTACCCTGGCGGAGACAGCTGCTCTGAAGCAGGTGTTTGCACAAGGGACCCTGGAGTGCTGGACCTGCCTGTGCACATCTCCCCACTTTGTTGCCATAAGAAGCCAAGAGTTCTGCAGTGTAGGTAGACCAGCTTAACCAGAGGAATTTAGGGAGCAGAGGGGAGAAGGAAGAAAACCAAACTGCTGATTCTTAGGAGAGTGGTTTCCTTGTCCCCCTGGAGGTGTGATGGGGGATTGGAGGGTCATGAGTGTCCCGTAAGCTGCAATGAGTAGTGAGTGAGGGTTTTGAACTTTGGAACAAAAACCCAATTGTGATGCCTTGATGTGGTGGGCATGTTAAGGCATTTCCACTCTCTAGTCAGCACTGTCCCCACCTTCAGGGTTTCATCTTGTCCACTGGGTGCCGGGACTCTGCCTGTGTCTTCTTCAGCCCGGCTGGGAGTCCCTTGAGTAGGGTTTCCATAAAGAATCCAGTCACTCTGATGGGCTCCACTGCCCATCAGAGCCCACTAGCTGGGACCACAGCCACCAAGCAATGTGGAGATGTGGGCATGTCAGTAGCCTGTACGCTCCCTGGTCTAAGGAGGATTTGTCTGGCAGACGATTAAGAGTCAGTACACAGTAATCTAGGAGCTGCTGCACACCAGGTGCCTGGCCGCATACTGCACATGCCTTGGTTACTGGGATCATGGACCAACCTGATGCAATAGAATACACTTTGACTATGTTATGGCTAAGATAACAGAAGTTAAGTGATTTCCTTAGAGCTGAGACCTCTTCCCTCCTATGGGATGTTGGGAAGGGTAGGAATGTGCTGATTCTGGTGGAAAGTGGCTTGCATCCTGAGCTGGTGGTGATGCCATGGGTGTGGGAGACATGGGCTGGGTAAGATGACTGTGGAACTCCTTGGGGCTCTCGTGGTGGATGTCTCCGTATCCCTCCTTCAGCGCTGTGCTTACAGGTAGTGGGAATTCATGCTGTTAATTGATCCTTTGGACTTGGGGGTTGGGGGGTAACAGCTGAGCAGTTAGGAGGAGGGTGCTGTATCCCCAGCACTGACAACAAGCCTAAGGATAGGAATGTAGGTGAACAGAAGCCAGAGACACCCAAAGTGCTAGAAATCTGAAGGTTTCAGGGAAGGCATCTTTATTTTTATCCCCAGATTAAAAAAAAAAAAAACAACTAGTAAAAGACATGTAACATAGCATTTGCCATTTTAATCATTTTCAAGTGCACAATCAAGACATTAATTATAGTCACAATGTTGTACAACCATCACTACTATTTTCTTCTAAAACTTTTCATCATCCCAAGCAGAAACTCTGTGTACCCATTAAGCATTAACTCCCCATTCCTCCCTCCCCACCCCATGGTAACCACTACTCTACCTCCTATCTCTGTGTTTTTGCCTGCTCTAGATGGTTCATGTAAGTGGAATCATACAATATGTGTTCTTTTGTGTCTGGTATATTCCACTTATAATGTTTCCAAGGTTCATTCATGTTATAACATGTATCAAAATGTCCTTTCTTTGGCTGAATAATATTTCATTGTATATAAACACATTTTGTCACGTGTTGATGGACATTTGAGTTACTTCCATTTTTCAGCTATTGTGAATAGTGCTACAGTGAACATTGGTGTCAGAGAAAGCAGTTTTGAGCAAGCATTGGGTCTGGCCCCAGCCAGAAAAGGACCGTTTCTCTCCATTGATCAACAGGGACAAATAATAGCAGAGGCTTCAACAGCTTTGCCAGCCTTACCAACCAGCAGGCTGTGCCAGGTCATCAGCAGCCATCATCGTGTTGTCCCTGGACACCCCTCCACCCTTGAAATCAGCAGCAGTGCCTGAGATGCCTCCTTTGCAGGCCAGTCTTGTGCTTCTGAGACCCCATGGTTTCATCCGTTAACAACCACAGTCTGGTCTAGTTCTGGCAGAGTAGTGATCTCTGTGTTGAGCAAATCTGCCTCCAGTTGTCCAGTTTCTTCCATCTTCTCAGGACTGGAGCACAAGGGAGGAACTGGAAGATGAGTCAGATGCTCATTCTTTTCCTGCCTGCCTTCTCTGAGTCTTTGCTTCCTGCCTGGCACCGGGTGATTCACTGGTAGTCACTCTGCTTCCTTGGAGGCACATAGCTATAAGACCTAAGATTTAAGGAATTTTGAGCTCTGATAGCATAGTGCCTAATGCATTTGACTGCTAACCAGAAGGCTGATGGTTCACTCCCTGGAAAGAAGGTTGGGCAGTCTACTTCCATAGTGATACTGCCTCAAAAACCCAAGGAGGGGTCGCTATGAGTCGTATCCGACTCAACGGCAGTGAGTGGTTTGTTTTGGTTGCTGGTCCACTCACTTAATTGACAGGTGGAACAATTAAACGTTGGAGAGCTTGACAACTTTCATCTTCTCCACAGTCAATGCATTAGTCCCAGTTGAATTGTGAGCAGGGACAGAACTCAGATTTGCACGAGAGATCATTGAAAGAATACAGGAAAATCTCATCAAGCCAGAGGGTGGGGGAAGTACCTCCCAGATTCATGGGGCTGAGACTGGGAACCACAAAGAAGTTAGCACGAACCAAAGCAGAGTCTCTTGTCTCTCTTTCTCTCTCGAGACCCATGTGGACACAGCTGCACTCTTCTCCTATGTGCAGACCAGCCTGCCTTCTCATGGTTTCTGTTTAGCGGCAGCAGCAACTTATTCACGTGGTGTTGGTTGTGAAGATCAGACTCTGCTTGGCTTTTCAGATGAGACAGCCACCACCAGCTGAACGGTCTCTGATTCTCTGAGCTCAAACTTTGAAATTTGAATCTGGTT